GACCAAGGCACCAGCCACATACACCTGAGCTGGCGGGTTCGAATCCAGCTGGGGCCCACCAAACAACGATGGCTGCAACAAAAAAAAAAAAAAAAAAGCCAAGCATTATGGCAGGTCCCAGCTACTTGGGAGGCAGAGGCAAGGGAATCACTTGAGCCTAGGAGTTGGAGTTTACTGTTGAGTTGTGATGCCACAGCACTCTACCCAGGGTGACAGCTTGAGGTTCTGTCTCAAAAAAAAAGATAACCCATTATTTACTCAAAGTGTAAATACATTCCAAATTAATAAGCTGAGAGCTTATTTTTTTTCATTTTACTTACTAATAGAGTTTAAATTTTTTTAAAGTCTATTTATAGTTTTAAAATTGTTGATAAGTTCAGTTTGAGATAAATTTATAGTTGTGTATGAAAACAACAAAAATTGACCAGTAAGTACTGTCTCAGAATGAAAGAAGTATATTGTTTAAATCAAGAGAGACAGTATTTTGCCTGGTCACAGTGGTGTATTTCTATAGTCTCAACCACTTAGGAGGCTGAAATGGGAGTGTTTGAGGTCACCTAGGTGACATAGCACCTCTTTAAAAAAAAAGAGAGAGAGAGAGAGAGGGGCAATATTTTAAAGTAAACGACATTGTGTTTTTAGAAATGGAACAGATTTTACAAGTCTGCTTTATTGAAAAAGGATCTATGAATAAAAGCTTCTATCTCTTAACATGCTGAGTAGAATTTCTAAATAGACAGTATAAAGTATCAAGCTTAAAATAATGTGGAGGACATAGTATATTTTAAGAGATGATTTCCAGGACTGTTTTTTCTTTTAATATTCTAGGAAATAGAATGGATGCATGTATGTCAGAAATAATATAACTGCAAGCTCAGCACCTGTATATAGCACAGTGGCTATGGCACTGGCCACATGCACCGAGGCTGGTGGGTTCTAACCCGGCTGGGCCAGCTAACCAACAATGACAACTGCAACAAAAAAATAGTTGGGCTTTGTGGCGGGTGCCTCTAGTCCCAGCTACTTGGGAGGCTGAAGCAAGAGAATCGCTTAAGCCCAAGAGTTGGAGGTAGCTGTGATGCCGTGGCACTCTACCGAGGGTGACAAAGTGAGACTCTGTCTAAAAAAAAAAAGAAAGAAAAGAAAAGAAGTAATACAACTGCAGAGATTTGCCTTTAGGAAAAAATTTTAATAAAATTTCCAACAGCAATCTAGACAGATCATTATAATTATGAATGTCATACTCTTAACATTCTCTGTACATAACTTAATTATGACTTCTCCATACCATACTAAGTTATCATGAATTTGTATATATGGCTGTCTTGCCATGCCATCACTGGAGAAGGTGAGAACTTTAGAGCAAACAGAATTAAGTCCAATAGGAGTACTAATTTAAATGTTATATAATTTAGATTAATCCTTAAAATGGAGAGTATTATTATGAATAATCTAATGAAATTGATTAAATTTAAAGCATCTTTGAAAAAAGAAGGATTATAATTATTTACATACAAATTTTTTTTTTGGTAGATATTTGTTCAGTCCAATCAAGGTGAAGAAGAAACAACAAGAATTTCCTATTTTACGTTTATTGGGACTCCAGTCCAGGCAACAAATATGAATGACTTCAAACGAGTAAGTTCATTTACATGATATTAGGGAAAGTAAAAATAACATTTTGAGGGAATAATTTTACATATTTCAGTTAGTCACACTTTTTAACCATAAAAGTCAAAAATCGTATCATGTTGTGGAATTTTGTACGGTTACACTAGAATAGTACTAATCACATTTTAAGACACCCAAGTATAAAAGAAGTCTAATAAAAATGGTAAGTCTTAACTGATAACTGTCTTTTAATGAATGATATGAGAATAAAAATAACAATTTGATTATGAAAGTGGTTAGGAGTAATGGAAAAGTAGGAGTAAGTTAAATCATTTTTTGGAAGGAGTAGTGAAATTTTAAGAACTTTGACAATGCTAAGATTTTATCATTGTTTCTGATTAAAACATTTAAAATGACTCAATTTTATTAAAAAAGAATGGATTCAGTTCGTGAGCTGAAAGAATGTATTTCTTCAGCAAATAATTTTATAGTGACCAGGAGAATTATCTTTTATACATTGTGTATGTGTGTTTATACATTATGTATGTGTGTTGGGGAGGGTGTATAATTTTTTTTAAAGGACACTATCCTAAAGTTTGTAAAGAGTTTGTAGGATACGAGAGACTTTTAGGAATGAGGACTAATCCCTTTCATACGTTACTGGAATAACTTCTAATTGGGAACAGTTCCCTAGGTTGACTGTTCACTATGCAACTACAGATCATAGATGTGTCAACTGACAGCACCAGGACTGAACCTCAGTTGCAGTATATACAGTTTAAATGTGCGCAGCACGGAGGGTGTATGTATCACAGTGTTTCCAGAGATTGCAGCTGGCAGGCAGTCTAGGACTTGAGATCAAAGTTTCCCTGGGGCTGCCAATTACTGGAGGGAGTGGCTCCCAACAGACCCATCCGTGGGGAGTTGGAGATGTAGAACATTTTGAGAATGCTTGTTTTTTGGTGGTATCTACAGGTCTGATTTTCTGAATTCAATTACAGAAAAATTTGTTAAATTGCATAATAATGAATGATCTTATAAAATTGTACACTGTTTTTACAAAGTTGAGTACCTGACAATAGATGTAGAGTAGTTGAAATACCATCTTCATCATAGCATAGTTTGAGAGCTCGAGGAATAATTATGTACTTAGAACTGTCATGTCTTGATGTTTCACTTGTGTATAATGACAGGTCAGAAGAAGCAGAGATTAAACACCTACATTTTTATGATGCAAAATAGGAATTTTCATTTACTGCGAAAATGTGTGAGCAACAGACATTTTGGCTGCCTGCTTTGCCCATTTGTATTAAACGTCATTGGACTTGGCTTGAACTATTCTTTATGTTCTTACATAAAATCTATTATTCCCTCGTATCACTAATTTGGCTCTAGTTTTCCTTTTTCTCACCTCAGCTTATGCTATTTGATTTTTCTTTTTTTCTGTTAAGTAACTACCATTCTATTTCATATATTTTCTTACTGGCCTGCCATTTAGTTATAGATTTTCTAATTTGCAGTAATATTTGTACCTCTAAGTGTCTGTCTTCTCATTGTTTTTAACATCCCCTTCACTCCCCTCTTAGCCTACCTAGTCATTTCTCTTCATTGACTGTCAAACTACCCTTTTAAAAGCTGTCTTCAGGATAGCAAAGGTGTTAAGATTTTTCTCGCTTGAGAGTATTTGTGTTTGTTTTATAAAACTGTGTATTCTTTTTACCTTATTTAGATGTATGACTGGAGAGCAGCAGTTCTCAAATTTCATTCTTAGATCCCCTTCGTACTACAAAATTTGAGGGAGGACCCAAAAGAACTTTTATTTATGGGTTGTATTTATCTAATATTTATTATATTAAAACTGGGGAATATTAAAATACTTATAAATAATGAATGCACATGTTAATACAAATAATATTTTAGAATAGAAAATAAAGCATTTTTCCAAAAGAAAAAACCCAAATTATTGAGGAGTACTGTTTTATAATTTTATGAATTTACTTACTGTTCACCTAACAGTCCTTATTCTCACTATCTGTTTCTGCATTTAATCAGCTATGATAAACCTCTGGAAAACTCGCCCATACACTTGTGCTCTCACCCAAGTGAAAAAGGCACATAACAGTTTATCATTGTTATGAAAATAGCTTTGACCTCCCAGACTCCCTGAGAGAATAATTTAAATACTATAATAGACTCCCTTGTTGGTGTTCTGGGCTTGTTTGCTCTTTGGTTTTAATGTTTGATAAATTTTAATTGGATGAGTGGCTTTCTTATGTGTATTAATATTACATGACCTTTCCTTGGAATATTTCTGAATGAGATTTGTTATGTAATTATTCATTGTTTTGTAGGGTTATTTTTTAAAAGTGAGCTAGTATTTCATTATTTTTATATGATGCAAAGCATCACTTCAACGGAATAAAAAAAATTAGAGAGTACACATTTAACCGAAAGTGGGCAGTTTAGTCTTTGTGTAGAGACTTTATTAAAACTTACAAATGAGTTTTTGGCTCGGTGCCTGTAGGGCAGTGGTTATGGCATGGCTTGGGCCAGCTAAACAATAATGACAACTGCAACAAAAAAATAGCCAGGCATTGTG